TCAAACAATTATGTTGTTAGAAAATGAGATAGGTTTTGACACATTTAAGAAAAATATTTATCTAAGAATATAATTGAAGTAAAATGGTAATTCTTACTGAAGCTTAAATGTAACCTACACGTTAGCATTCAAAAGAGGGGAGGGTTAAGAAAAATTTCTGTTGAAAGTTAGTTTAAGGTAATTAATAAAATATATTCAAGTGTAAACAGTTACTAAGCTTCAAAGTCTATTACATTTCAATTTGTTATGATAGGGGTATAACACTGATGCTCAAACAACCTATCCTAATTTACATATCAGGTACCGCACACTTCTGTAACATCTAAGTCCTGGAATTTTAACTATTTTTTAATGATGAGCCAAATGTTAAAAACTTTAAAGAGCCAAATGCTTGCAAATGGTTTTAAATTTCTAGATGATACCTTTTTTCCTCAAATTTATGTATCATTTCTCTGAGGTTTCAAAGTGTTTTAGTTTGTCTTTTTACACATTTGTATTTTTCTGTTGGTTTCCTCTGGAGTGGTATTTTTCAAACCTCATGCTACTAAAGGAATGAGGCATTTTATTATCCAGTCATGGTGAGAACAAAATTGATTTTAGCTATCACTGTACCTGATAGTAGGAAAATAAGCAAGAACTTCCTTTTTATTTTTTTGGTACCAAGAATCAAACTCAGGACCTTGTGCTTGCCAGGCAGGTGCTTGTGCCACTGAGCTATATCCCCAGCCTGTAAGTTCTTAAAATATAGGTTATTCAGATTTCTGTTTCTAAGGTCATGGTTAGACACACTTTTTCCTATTTCCCGGTGAGTATAAAAAAAGCCCAGAAAGTTAAATAAAAAACAAACTGTAATCCTGCAAGATAGAATACTATGACTTAATTTTTTTGGAGATATTTATAACATGAAGATGAGCTCCTGTGTTTTCTTTTGCCTCATATATCCCAAACTTGGAGAAAAAAATCCTAATAAATATCTGCTCTCTCTAGCCAAAGGGCCAAGAAAGAGGCTGATTAGAAAAACAGAAAAAATTTAGACATAATTGATTTCTCCATCTAAAGACCATGCACCATGTGACACATGAGAATATGAAATATAAAATCTCAGGAAACATGTATAAAATACAAAAAGTCACATATGAAAAGTGTAGATGTGAAAAATATAATGAACAAATAAATAGTTTAATGCACCATCTCAACAGCAGAATACAGAGGGCAGAGGAAAGAATATATGAGCTGGAAGATAAAAACAGGAAAATTTCCAAATATGGATAAAGAAAAACTAGTCTGAAAAAAAAAAATACCTTCACTGTCATATGGGACCATAAGGTCACTTTTAGTCGTTAAAGACACAGAGAAGAGACAACAGGCTGAGAAGTTACTTGGTGAAATAATGAGTGGAAAGTACAAATTTGGCAGAAGACGTAAACCTAGGCCTCAAGGAGATGAATAAATCCCAACAGGATAAACAAAGAAAACCTCCAGGATTTGACTATGGCATCAGAGTCAAACTACTGAGAACTAAAAGGGAAAAAAATGAAAACAACTATAGAGAAATGTCATATTACTCATAAGGTAAAGCAACTTGAGTGACAGCAGATTTCTCATGAGAAGACACGGAGACAGAGAAAGTGACAGAGTGTTTTTTATGTGATATAAGAAACCAAATTCTCAAGCCACTATCCTACACCCAGGGAAAATATTTCAGAAATGAAGGGGGAATTGAGAAGTCTCAAATAAGACTCAAATAAGACTAGGGAAGACTTCCTAATAGAGGTCTCTAAAAGGATAGCTAAATGGTATTCTCTAAAAAGGAAGAAAAGAGAAAATAAGGAACTTCCCAATAACAGGAAAGAAAGAAGACCATAATAAGCAAAACTATTGGTAAGATGCTGACACCAACAGACTGTTATCTCTTTTATATAATTTGGAGAATACTAAGAGGGACATAACTATGTCAAGAACATTAACAATAAATCAAAATGGAATTCTTCAAAAGTTTAACAAGGGAAAGCAGAAAGCAAAAAATAAAATGGGGACCTTAATACTTGCAGTAATGGAGTATTCTAAATAGTCCAATTAAAATCCAGAGACTGGTAAAAGTGTTTAAAAGTATGGCCATGTCTACAAGAAACTTGTTTCAAATGTAGCATCATTTACCATTAAAAATAAAGAACAAAAATTACATATCACACAAGCATTAATCAAAAGAAAGCAACTGCACCTCTATTATTTCAAAGAAGAAGACCTCAAATCAAAGAAAACTATCAGGTACCGAGAATGGCATTCTATATTGATAAAAAGGGTGAATCAGCCAAGAAAATATTGCATTTATAGGAGTATAAACACCTAACAGTAGAGAAAAGTACATGAAGGAAAGGCTGTTTAGGCATATCATAACTTCTGACATACATTTCAATGCTTTCTCAAATTTGATCATGTATCTAGACACAAAATCATAAAAGAGATGCAAAAACAAATCCATATCCAAGAAAGTCATTTTCTTGAAAAACACAAATGACCATAATTCATCTAAAATGGAAAAGGTAGCTTGAAGAGCCAGGTAAGTACTAATAAAATTTAATAATTATCTTAAAAGTTTCCCCATGAAAGCGTCTCCAGGCACAAAATGGTTCCAAAGCAGAATTCTACCAAATATTTAAAGAAAATCTAACCCAACCTATGTACAGTCTCTGCAGAAGGTGGCATAGACCTTTCCAATTAATTTTATGAAACTAGTTTACTTGAAGTCTTCCAAATTCTATGGAAATTAACTTCAAATGAACCCTCAATTAAATGTAAAATATACAACTATTAAGCTTTCAGGAAAAGAAATAAGCATAATCCTCACCTAGATCTAAGAAAAGAATTTCTAGACTTGACATCAAAGTATGACTCATGGAAGGTAAAATTATATCACTCCTAGAAGGTAAAATGGATGAATTGGGCTTTATCAAAATTAAAAAGTATTTCTCAATGAAAGACTGTTAAATAGATTGAAAGACAATCTACAGACAAGGGGAAAATATCGGTAAATTATATATCTTACAGAGGACTAATGTCTAACAACTCTCAAAATCAAGTTTTATAGAATAAGATTAGAATATAGCTAAAATACGTAGGTGTTTCATCAAAGAGGGTAATACAAATAAGCACAAAAATGTAATCAAATTTTAGCTAGTAGACACATGTGAATTAAAATTATAAAGAAACATAATTACATATCTGTACTAATAGCTTGTGGCCAAGTGATTACAAAGATATAGATAAACCAGAGCACTCATACATTGCTGGTGGTAACATAAAATTTATAGTCACTGTGGAAGATAGTTTGGAAATTACTTGAAGTACTACACATGCTGTACCATATGCCCCGACAGTTATGCTCTTGGACTTTTATCTAAGAGAAATAGAAAGGTCATGTTCACACAAAAATCTGTTCACAAATATCCACTGCAACTTAATTTATAATAGCTAAATTCTAGAAAAAGTTCAGGTGTCCTTCAGTATATGAATAATTAAAGAGACTGTGATATAGCCAAATCACAGATTATTACCTCAATAACCTGGATAAACATTCAAAATATTATGCTGAATGAAAAAAAATCCAGTTCCCAAAAGTTACATACAGTATTTTCTCATCTATGTGGAGATAACATTGTAGAAATTGACAATGCACTAGTCCTTGCCAAGAATTGCAGTGGATGTGGGAGGGAGGTGGGAGGTGACTGAGGTTATGAAAAGGTAACGTGAAAGACCCTTGAAACCATGGAAGTACTCTGTATCTTGACTCTGTTTGTGTCAAATTCCTGGATGTGGTATTGAAATATGCTTTGTCCAAAGCTACCTTGGGGCCGGGGATCTAGTTCAGTGCCACAAGTGCCTGCCTGGCAAGTGCAAGGTCTTGAGTTTGATTCCCAGTACAAAAAAAAAAAAAAAAGCTACCTTAGAGGGAACTAGATTTCTTCATTTCATTTTTTTAAGTGGCATGTGCATACATATCTCAACATAAAATTTAACTTTCAAAACTCATGTGATTAAAATCTAAGTATAAAAGCATAATGGGTTCAGTGACCCTAAAGCTCTTTAAGGAAAAGAAACCCATCTCTACATTAAGTGATGTTTGACTTCCCTTTCCCTGGCTACCAACACACTAAACCTTAGAGCTTTTTGCCCATTCCCATTCTCTCCTCCTTTAAGATCTGTTCCTACTGTAGATAGAGCCAGTCCTTACCATACAATGAGTTGATACTTATTTTAAGAATAATTCTTATGAACATTTTATTAATGTTAGTAACTTTTCTGCAGTTAGGGCAAATGTAATTGTGTTGACCATTTTCACCTAAGCATATGTGGTTCTAGTAATTTAAAAAATGTTCAACTAATAGGTATTGTCGTCACAGACAACGTAGTCCAATATTTCTGTGATTACCTGATTAAATATTATAAAATGCTGTCGGGGCTGGGGGTTTAGCTCAGCGGCAAAAGCGCCTGCCTGGCAAGCGCAAGGTCGTGAGTTCGGTTCCCGGTACCGGAAAAAAACCAAAAAAAAAAAAAAAAAAAATGCTGTCAATAAATTTCTCTCCCCTACTCCTATCCTCTGTCCCTTGATATAAGCAGCAAAGAAGCCTGTTAATAGGAAACTGTCTTCAACTCTAGTCCTGAGTCCTGTTGTACTCACAGTATTTCAATCTGCTTTTCTCTTTCAAAATTTCAATTATAAATCATGACAGTAAAACATTCGGTTTCTGACCACATACTGAAACCTATGACTACCACAAGTTGGCTCTATAAGTTGTTGGGAGACTGTTCTCTGTGTTCTGCACATCTAGCAACCAGAAGCAGTAATTGCTCTTTGTTTGGACCACATTTGAAGGATAGCTGTATATAAGGTGTATCCTTGTAATATATGGACAGGATCTCTGTCCACTGCACAAGGCTAGTAACATGCACACTATCAGCATAAGAAAGATAAGATCTTCTAGGGCAAAGCACAGCCATACCTAATACTCATTGTAAAAGAGGCAGGTTCTCTGAGCTCAAGTTTCTTTACATGTAATGCAGTTCTCTGCAATGTGAAGGCAACCTTCTGGAGGCTGTTATGACACCTCTGCAGAACTTGAGGTCCAAAACTGGTGCAGTCATGCTGATGTCGGTGCTTCTTGCGTGCCTTGAATACTAATATCCTGTCTCAGAACCAGGAGTCCAAGATCTTCTTCTAGAATCCATGAAGGATTTATTTTAGTATACGGTAAGTCAGCATATGCAGTGAAGAAAGGATATCCTGTCTCAGAACCAGTAGTCCAAGATCTTCTAGAATCCATGAAGCTGTAACAGACAAAGTTATTAGCTTAAAAGTACAGCAAAACCTCAAATCTTCACATTCTTGACAAAGCCCTATCCACATCATGGTCATATGCTTTCTTCACTGCGTATGCTGACTTAACATATACTAAAGCAAAATGAAGGAGAGAGAAAACTGATAAATAGAGATGGGAATTCTAGCAGCGCTCTTGACATTGCTGCAATAATACTGATTAAGGAACTTTAGATTCATCATCAGGTTACATTTATCATCTACAGTTACAATATGATGGAGAAAATATTTGTAACTAATAGCCCAGGTGGTTAATATGAGACTAATGTCTCACAGTTTGTTTGTTTGTTTGTTTGTTTTAGGACTGTTCGTGGCTAGTATAATACTGAAATCTGAACCAGAGCAGAGATTACTAGTTTTTGAGAGATTGGTGAGCTGAATTTTAACATTAGTACCTTTTCTTCTCTTGTGTGAGACATTTGGGATGGTGGTGTGATAGTTAAGCCTAATTCAACTAGAATACCTTATCCTTTTTAACTATTATATTAAACTAATTCACATGAAGCCTCTAAGAAAGAAAGTATATTCTGTAGTGTTGCAATTACTAAATCTCAGAATGGTCTTATGTCCAAGTACAGCTGGGGGCTCCAAACATCTGTACACTTTTTGCTCAATTTCAAATAGCCATCTGTCTATTAACTGGTCCAGAGAACACTCAGATCTTTTCTTAGAAAGAGGCACACTTATTTTCTCACAATTTCAAACAAGACTGTAGAGCTATTGAAGTTGTCAGTGACAGACAAACATGAACCTCCCTAGAATCATCAAAAGTAACCTTTTTATCTGTAATAATCCCTGAAAGATAGTGTCTGTCTTTGACTAGAGTTTTACTAGTTGGATTTGTTACAAGGGAATTTCCTTGCAAAAACATCAGATACCAAATCAAACACTACTTTACACTGACTTCAAAACTCAGATTTACCAGAGTAAAAAATTTTCTGTACAAAATATATTATATGTGAGAATGTAATTCTGACTGGATAACTTCATAATAATATTGACCTGATTGTTATTCCTTGGAGTTTAATTATTGGAGGTCAGGCAGTTGTGGTGTCATTTGTAGTGCATAACTTTGTAGGCTTTGCTGCTTTTAAAAATTGTGTAGTGGTTTTCATTTGTACTATATGAATTTATTTCACAAGTATAAAATATATTTTTCTTTTCAAATATGACTCTAAATGCACTAACATCTATGTTTTATAGTTTACATAAATCAGGCTTATATGAATGAGTCAGAAACATTTATTGCAACAAGTGCTTGCTTGAATTCACATACAGCTAAGAAATTATTTACCACGGTCTAGAAACGGTTGTGTAAAAGGTTCATTCTCTTGCACAGTTTGCTCTAGGTAGACCTGTCTCTGTGGGAGTTGATTTGTTACTGCAATTTAAAGGACATACATTTGCCATTTACACTGTGTTATCAAAGCGCACAGAAAAGAAAGAAAAAATAAAATAGCACATGATATCAATATTTACTACATAGCTATCGTCACATTCCAAAAACATCAGGATAAATACATCAGAGTTTTCAAATCATTATGAATTCTATCTGCAGAGACTTTATCAATCTCATAAGATAGAAAAATATGATGCTAGAAAGCAGGATCAGATTTTTTTAAAGTTACAATCAAGAAGTAAAGCAAAGAAATTAAAGGAAGATGAAATAACTATAGTCTGAACAGGTGGAAAATTTGATAAAATTATGGCTTAGGTGCTCAGACTGACAGAGGGTACACTACAGCATGGAAATAGGATAATGCTCAAAAGTTAATTGTCCACTGTAAAAATAGGGGCAGGTGTAATAATAACAGTTGCTGCTTTATTTTCTCATGTGCTCCTAACTACAGCTAGGGGCTCTGAACATCTGTACATTTTTTGCTCAATTTCAGATAGCCATCTGTCTATTAACTTCACTTATAGATAGTGAGTTTGGGGCAAAATAAGCTGTTACTTAGACTGTGATCATTCTCCCTGGATTGAGTGGGACTCCTAACTGTAATCCCTTCTGGTTGGATTCTGCAATCTGTTTTTAAACAGCAGACACAAATGCAAATTGTTGAAATGTGCCCAACACCAGGTAAAAGACACTCCTAAGTTAGAAAATATTTTAAACAAAAGCTTGTTTAGCCACTTATTTATTTATTGTTATTATTTTATTATTAAATTTATTGGTACAATTTAGATATAAATAATGATCATATTCATCATAGGGAATTTGTACCTATATATGATATATCTTGATTCCTCCTTTTTTTCCAATTCCCTCCCCTCCCTTCAGCCCCTCTTCAGCTCCTTATTTACAAAGCTCTGTTTCCATTTTATCCTTCTTTTCTCATTTTTTCTTTTCCCTTTCTTCCTTTTCCCTGCCTTTTCCTAGCTCCCCTTTCCTCTTAAACAATTTCTTACCATTTTACCATATTGCTTGTGCAATTTGGTTCTTATTTACATTTTCAGTTTCTCATATCTGTGAGGCAGTGCAATATTTACACACATGTTCAATTTATTTCACTTAATAGTATGGTCTCAAGGTCCATCCATTTAGTAATAAACATCTCAAGTTTATCCTTCTTCAGGGCAGAGTAATACTCCATAGCATACTTCTTAAAAACCACATCCTTTTTATCCATTCATTGACTGATGGGCATTTGGATTGTTTCCAAGATTTAACTATTACAAACTGTGATAGAAATTATGAAAGAAATTGTATAAATCAACTGCGGCCATGATCACAAATCATATTACTTTAATTCACTTACCATGGAAACTGTTAGAAATTATTTTTGTATGACTAAAGCTCCTGGAAATTATAAATAAGGGCAGACAGCAAATCAATAAACATCAGTACAAGAAAAGATCTGAAAATCTAGTAATAAAGGTGAGGATATTTAATATATGAACCAAAATGCTTCCTCTCTTTACCTTCCCAGCTCAGCAGGGTACAGCCCTGTCTACTCTAGGTAAGTGGAGCCCACCATGCCTGGGTTCCTTTCCTCTCATCCTCCAGCTGAAGGGTTTTCTCCTTTGGAAAAGCTTGACTTCAGTGTTTATCCTCCTGCCTTCAAGTGCTTGTTGCCGAGGGAAGTCTTGGGTAAGTATAGTAAATGTAGGGGCTCTCTTCCCCTGACAATCCTTACTAGTAGAATGGAGAGTTCTCAAGAAAGTCCCTTCTCTTGAGGTGGTGATTATGCTATACCAAAGGAGCCAAGCTGAGCGCCCTCCGGAGGAAGCGCCCACCCTTCACTAGGTCCTCAGCTGCTATAGCAGGATTATAATGCAGACAGAATCCCACTGTTATCTCTCCCACTCTCTACTCCAGAACCTTATTTCAGAGATTTTCCCTGAGAAGAGAATCAGACCATAAAACAAATGGTTCTCAAATCTTTCCAGAGGAACTGATACTGCATTTACAGTTGAGGACAAGGTAGCTCAATCTTAAGGGCATTCTGAAGAACAGTGAAGGTTGTAGTGAAAGAATTTTAGAAGTGGCTTCATGATCTAATAAAGATACAGCTTCCTCTATAGGCCAGGATATTTGAAGGAGAGCAATAAAGAATAACACAGCTGGGATGAATGCTCATGGGTTCAGAACAAATTATCAAAAAAATGTGCAAGACACTCAAATGGAATTCTGAAGCAGAAAAATACTATAGCTGAGATTAAAAGTTCATTAGAAGAGTACAATGTTAGATTTGAGCTGGAGGAAGAAAGAATTATTGTACTTGGAAATAGACTGGTATAAATTATGCAGTCAAATAATGGAAAGAAGGATGAAGAAAACCTTAAGAAAAATGTAGAACAATATTGAGTGTACCAACATGTTTGTAAGAGGAATATAAGAAAGAAAGGAGACACAAAAGGGCAGAAATATACTATTTGAAGATAAAATAGTTGAAACTTCTCAAATTCATTGGCAAACAATAACCTAAATGAACTCCAGGTCAAAGAGACCCACAAACAAACACATCACAGAAAAATGATGAATATAAAAATTGAGGGAAAACCCTGAAAGTAGTAGGAGAAGATGTGTCACTTACAAGGGAGTACCAGTAAGACTAATAGTTGGTTTCTCGGTCAAAACAATAGAAGCTACGTGACAGTGAGATAATGCAAGCAAAGTTTTCAAAATAGAAAACTGTTGACCAAGAACCTTATAACCAATAAATACACATTCTAAAGAAGGGGGAAAAGAATTTCCAAATAAGAAAATTTGAGAAAAAATTGTTTCTAGAAGAGTCACCTCATAACAATACTAAAAGAAATTATTTAGACTAAAAGCAAATGACACCAGAGTATAATGTAAAGCCACATAAATGAAGAACATCAGTAAAACTGTAAAACACTACAAATGTGGGGAGTGGCTGAAGTTGGAGAATGATCACACACACGGAGCGCCTGACACCAGCCTCGAACAAGCTGTTCCAGCTCTGAGAATATGGAGACCCTGAGGCAATCTGAGCAACCAGCTTGCTAGTCAGAGGGGTGTCACATGATATCAACTTGCCCAATATATATTTTTTCTTTTTTTAAAATTTATTTTAAAAATAAAAGAAGGAAAACATATTAACAAACAGACATCCATTTACAAAGTAGCATAGGAACAATACAAACAGTACAGAGTTACTGACAAAGTGGTAGGAAATTAACAATCACTGTTGTATTATGTATTCATATCTTCAAAGTGGTTTCTCAGGAAAACAATACAGACATGAAAGATTGATCAAATAAGTAATTATTAACTGTTCCTTTCAGTAAAGCAATAGAAGTCAGTCGTACAACCATGCCAGCTATCCTGTAATACATACATACATAATTTCCCCTTCTTTCTTTTCTCTTTTCCCTTATCCCAGTTGCTCTTTACTTTTGAGCATTTTCCTTTCATTTCACAATGTCTATCATACCTCCTAATTTTTATTCACTCTTTCAGGTTCTTACACTAGCGAGACAATAT